CCCCTCGGAATTATTTTCCTTTCCCCCCCCCCCCGCCGAAACTAAATATTTCGGATTTCCCCCTCCAAACGTCTCGACGATCGTCGCAGGCGATCTTAATGCCAAACACGTTGCCGACACACTAACATAAAAGGCATTTCCATTCTTGCCAATATTCTTGACCCAATCTTGCCGTTGCCCCGAGATCCTACGTACCTCCCCGCCCCTTACAAGCAACTTCCTTTCTTTCATTCTTGACATCTTCATCTTACAGAATGACACTGTTTCTGACGATTCCGCCGTTCTTGACGTTCTAAGCTCCGACCACTTTACCCTAATAGAAGTCGGCCGCCTAACCCTCAACCCCCCAAACCTTATAACTTCGCTAGACTGGCTACGTCTTCGCTACATTCTCGAAACTTCCTCCTTCAAGTGCACTTCAATTCACACAAAAGCGGAACTCAACAAAGCTGTCAATCTCCTATCAAACCAGATTACCAGCGCCATCGAGCTCTCCGCGACCTCCAGCCTCTCCTCCTCTCCAGAGGAACACCTCCCCGCAGACATTCTTGCCATCTTCAAGAGGAAAAACAAAACCCGCCGTCTGTGGAAAAAACACCGTGATCCCGCACACCGCACCGAACTAAACGCCCTCCAACGAGAACTTTTAACGGCTCCGTATTCACTTCAGATGAGGAAAACTCTTCGCAGACTCTCTCTGCCTCCACTGCTCCCCACTTCCCAGTCCCGTCGACCTTGCCGACTTTCACGAACCAACGTCGCTTCCCAAAACTTCGTCCGATCCATCCGATCTCTCAAAAAGAGAAAATCCCCGGAGCGGACGGTATTCCCAAAGGTATCCTAAAAGTTCTACCATCAAAGCACTCTGCAACATCATAAACGCTATCATGCGGCTCCACCATTTCCCTCCGGTCTGGAAAGAAGCCACCGTCATCTGTCTCCCCAAAAAGGGAAGCCCCTCAGCTCTCCCTCAAGCTGCACGCCTATTAGCCTGTTCAGTTCGCTAAGCGAAGTAGTGGAATCCATCCTATTGGATCGGCTTCTTGATCAGGTGAAGCGAAACAACCTATTCCCCGACTTTCAACACTATAAGACAGCACAGAAACGGCCATCAACTTCTCCGTGTTTTGGAACGCATAAATAAGCTCCGTAACACTTCTATGCTTCTACTTGACATCCAGCAAGCCTTCGATCGAGTTTGGCATGAAGGTCTCATCACCAAGCTTATCGCCCTCAACACCCTACATTTCCTAATCGGGGTTATCCGTTCCTTCCTCTCTGACAGAACCCTTCGTGTCCGCGTTGGCTCTACTTTATCCCCAACTAAATCCGTAACGGCTCCAAGGCTCAAAGCTGTCATCCGTCCCACCCCTCGATCGTCAGAGTTCTCTACGCCGATTACATCGGCCTCGTAAACTCCGCCCAAACCATTCTCCAATGCACAGAGAGAATTAATAAGTTTCTGCCCCTGCTACTAAATTGGTACCGAAGATGGAAACTCTCCATTAACGAGGCCAAGTCGGGAGCAATTTTCTTCTCCCGTTAACAACCACCGCATCAAATGGAGCAACTCCGTTACTTATCTCGGCGTCGTCTGCGACAGAACATTGACATGGCGAAAGCACATCCTTGCCATCCGTACCACGGCCCTGGCCGTTTTTATCTCCCTCAAGCCCTTTTTCCAAAACAGCTCAATCTTTCGTCAAACTAAAATCCGTGCGTTCAACGCAATTATCAGAAGCATTTGCTCCTACGCCATCCCCATTTGGGGCAGTTCCGGTTCTCACCGCTTACAAATTCTTCAAGGTACTTACATGCGGATCTTCGTTCCGCACTTAACTATCTCTGGTTCATCAGAAATATCCAAATCCTAAAAGAAACTGGTCTACCTTCACTCTCAAAGGCTGTAGTTAAGTTCGCAGCTAATCGCCGGACCTCAGTGTCAGTTCACTCAAACCTGTCCATCTCGACAGTTGTCGACTTCGCCCCTAAACCAAACGGCCGTTTCGGAAAGCCCTACCACCTTCGAATCGTGGAAATAACGATTTACATTATGATAGGACGTTATAATTAATCCAAACTCCCATACCACAACAATATAGATACGGTACAAAATATCAAATAAAATTATGAAAGCTGGAACTTGTAGGACAATATACAAAAGGCAAATACATCCGTCAGTTGAAGCTTCGTTTACATTTACCATATTGACGAAGAACTTCAACTACCCTTAAAAACGATTATTAACCGGTTCTATATTATTTTGTATTATTACGGAAAAGTTCATCTAGTATACCTAATAAACAATATTTTATGATTATAAAATTTTTTGACCAAATCAATATACAATGACAGTAAATAATCTACAAACTTCCAACCATCCGTTCGAAATTGGATACACGCTTTGCAAGGATTTTTCAGTCTTGTGGAATGCCTTCCACGCTGATGGATCATCTTTCCTGCCCTGAGGAAACTTGTATTACGATTGTTTGGAAAACTTTTTCGGAAATATTCTCAGTCATGTTGCACGAAGTGTGAACCCCAATTACAGCGCCTTTTGTAAGTTCCTTCAAAGCGCTCATCATCAAAAATTACTTTTCGCCCCGCTGGAACTCTTATGCGAGGGTGATAATTTGAAGGCACTTGACTATTTCAAAGACTTTTTTCGGCGGAAAAATGTTACAATAGCGGAATACAGACCCAGCAAGGCATCACTGTTGCATACGGGCACTTTTGTTGCTGCAACAATTTTGTCCCAGGTTAGGTTTTGTGGACGGTGCATACTTCACCTTGTAGGAGGAGGTAGGACCTAAAAAAAATATTTTGTTACTGTAAAAAGAGCTTTTTTTGTCAAACCTCTGCTATATGATTCAGATTCTTTAATTCTTACTTTCATCACTCTGTTTATATCTCCAAGCTTGTATTATCACAATTATCTGCCGATGTACGTATCACAGAACTGTTTAAGACAATTCACAGAGACTGTATGTAAAGTTGGACGTAATTCCATTGTGAGCAAGTCGACCTGAAAGGTTTACTGATACAGCAGATTTTAAAATTTCATTTGTTTGTGTGTATTCGGAATATTAACATCATCGTAAAAGAAAAACGGAAGATTAGAAGAACCTGAAATCCAATTAAAATATGCCATTTTAACGGATGAAGTAATGATGACAGGTACCTAATTGATTTTTTTTTAACTGCTATGGTAATACGTGGATAGAGTAGTTAAATATTAAAATAAAATGTTGTTGCAGATTGTATCAACGACATTAGGAAACTGTAGCATTTTCTTTGAATCATCAATATTAATCATATCGCATAAAAGACGTGGACGATTACGACACGATCACATCCGTGGTAACTGAAGTTTGCAAAGGAACATGACGTTTAATTACAGCTTTAAAGGGAACCAGTAATGTGAAACGTAGGTAACATTTATTTCCCTGCTCTGTAAATGCACATATATCTTTATTATAAGGCAATGCACCAAAAATCAGAACTGTAAATGCAATACCTGCTAAACATTTTGAGTCAACAAACATTATTGGTCCTTCAAGCCGGGTAGTATCGAGCCGGCGTGAAAATAAAAATAATTATTTGTGAAAACTAGCGGAGTCGAAATGATCAATTTCCGAAAATTTATTGTGTGTGCAACAGAAACCCACTGAAATTCCGAAATTCAACGGTTTATATCAAGACTAGTTAGATTTTGCGAATTTATTTGAATCATTAGTGGAAGTTCATTCGCGAAAGATACGGTAACAAACACTTTTTAGTATTTAATCATGTAAAAACACTTTTTAACGTAGAAACCATGCATAAAGAATCTTCATAGAAATTGCGCAATTTAATCGACACATATTCTAAGCATTTACATTTCTTTCAACAAATGGGAAAACAATCCGATCACTGGAACGTGCTACTCATTTACATTGTAACAGCCAAATTGGAATCATCCACATTACGCGAAAGCAAATGCAAACGAAGAAATACCTGCATTTAGTGATCTTTATCCTACTACAAACGGACTAGCAGACATCGTCGACCGTCATTCTTTGATAGCCGTTAGCACGTTCGATAGTCAACGCTTTACCCTTTCAGATCTCTAACGAAAGACGACCACTGCCCAGCCGAATAAGCGGTAAAAGCCTATAAAACCAATTTTAACGAACCAACGTTACTGGAACCGAGTACGTCCCTTTAAATTAACACTCACCCTGTTAGGAAGTTATCCAACTAGCAACACAAACACACGTTACATACACACATACGCGTTATATCCTAACTTACCCACTCATACACATACTCGCACACACTTACAAACATACTACTTGTACGATGACTACGATGGCCACCAGCTTTGTGACTGGGGGTAAGAGGACTAGGGCCGTCTCGCCAACGATGACCAATCTTTCGAGAACGTGATTCGTAGGCGTAGACATTCCAACTCCTCTCACACATCACTCTCTATCCTACCTATTCCTCAATAACTTCCCAAACCTCTACACCCCAATTTTAGAAGCTCTTCTGTCCGACATACCGGACAAGTTCTCAAACCAGTCCCTTCATAATACCATACGCAGCTTACCGTCCACCATCACTTCAACAAAGCGATCTTCATCTCCAAAGATCTCGACACTTGTCAAGAAACTTTCACCCCTCAAGGCTTTTTTATCCGAAAAGATGAAAATTCAGCCCTACCGAACATCCAAATCCCTACAACATCCAAACCAACAATTGCTCTGTAGACCTGAACATATCCTCTACCGATATCCTAACCGCCATTAAAGAGCAGAAAATCAATGCCAAAAACCCGTGGCGCATAAAGTCCAGACAAACCGGCAAAGACACTTTCTTCTTTAGGGTAATTTCAAATTTCCCCAAATCCATTGACACCCTGCTATCAAAAGGATTCACCATGTTCTCCAAGATTTACCTGTGAACCTTAACAATCCCCAAGCCCTCAACTTCTCCAGTGCAGTAAATGCTTCACATTTAGCCACAACACAGCTTCCTGCTCCCAAAGGCAACCGTCCCGTTACCGCTGCGGTGGTAACCATTCCTCGGCTTCCTGTACCTCCTTTTCATCCTGCTCCAACTGTAACGACAAACACCTTGCCTTCGATTCCAAATCCTCATCAAAATCCCCGATACCTTGCAAGACTGTCCCAATCAAGAGTGTTGATTCTCTAGCAGATGAAATGTCGGACACGTATCGTCTGAAACTAACGATAGTACTCCCGTTCTCAGAAGTTTCACAAGGATCGAGGACACTATCAGGTTTACTTACCTATGTATGACCTCCCTACATCCCAACCAACGCTTCGCCAGTCAAGCCGCCCAGTTCTTCTTGCGCAAAGTTTCCTACATTTACCGAGGTAATAACATACACCTTTTCCATAACACCTATTTCCTCTCCTCCAAGGTACTCCAACGCCTAAATCCAAATCCGCACCAATCGGTGACTCATCTTCCCCGTTAATTAACATTCGCGGACTTTAAAATTTGTACAATTACCACAAACGGTTAGAAGAGAAAAGAACAGCATAATACACAAGCTAAATAATGATGCAAAACACATTCTAGTACTACAAGAGACACTATCCACACCCAAAGAACGGTACCACATATCACAATACAATATCTACAGAAATGACAAACTACTCCCCATAAAAGGAACGGCACCAATCATACAGGGGTGTCTCAGAAGTCGCGCACCCAATTGTTGGGATCGAAAGAGAAAAAAATTCTGAGCCCAAAAATCCATGCTTGAAATTTTTTTGTAAAGTAGATAATTAGTAATTAATTAATGAAAGTAACCAATCAGAAGCGCGCTACAGAAGAATAAAAAGTGAGTGGGANTTTCACAGTCACCGATCATCACTGCCCCCATACGAGCCTCTTGTTAAGTTGCCTTGCCACAGATTCCGGTAAGTGTTGCTGAAAAGCTTGACTAACGTTCTATTTTTATGCATACTTTTTGCAGAAAGTATTTGGTACGGTACCTTTATAAGTATAATTTTCATTATTTCTACAGATTTCACAGTCAGCGATCATCGCCGCCCCCATACGAGCCTCTGTTTAAGTTGTCTTGCCACACTTTCCGGTAAGTGTTGCTGAAAAGCTTGACTAACGTTCAATTTTTATACATACTATTTGTAGAAAGTATGCGGTACGGTACCTTTATAAGTATAATTTTCTTTGTTTTTACAGATTTCACAGTCACCGATAA